GCTGCTAGACTCATCCTAGACACCAGTTAAAGTTCCTGTCCAGGTTCCAGTCCAGCTCCTATCCAGCTCTATCTTAGCTCTATGAGCAATACAATACAGAGATCTTCTTGCTGTTGGTGTAATTTTGATGCAATCTTTAACTTAATCTTTGGGGTGGTATTTAAGCGACTAGATCTGGAATTTTCTTCATAGTGCCGCTAGTATCATCCTAGACACCAGTTAAAGTTCCAGTCCAGCTCCTATCCAGCTCTATCTTTGCTCTATGAGCAGTACAATACATAGATCTTCTTGCTCTTGGTGTAATTTTGATGCAATCTTTAAGTTAATCTTTTGGGTGGTATTTAAGCGACTAGATCTGGAATTTTCTTCATAGTGCTGCTAGTATCATCCTAGACACCAGTTCCAGTCCAGCTCTTGTTAAAGTTCCTGTCCAGGTTCCAGTCCAGCTCCTATCCAGTACTTGGTCTTTGGGCAGTACAATTGATATTTTTTGTGTTTTTTTTTTTAGGAAAACCCGGAGATAAGAACCAAACGGGCGGGTGGGAGTCGCATCGGCGACGCCGGTGGATCCCTTTCGATCGTAAATTCGCTGGACGTTCTGCGCAACAGATTGTTGCTGGAGATAGCGAGGAAAAAGGCGAAAGAGGGCGCGACGCGCAACAGACAGATGCTGATGAATTTGGGCAAACGAGCATTTTACCCGGGTGTCCGAGGATATTACAACGAAGTATAAAGAGATATTATGAATTTATTATTATTGTAGGATTATATATATTTTTAAACGATCAGTAGGGAGCTACGTAGCTGTTGTTTTGTTGTGAATCTGTTTCTTAAAATAAAAATAAATGTATGTTTTCGTATCTACAATGCTATTTTTTATTTAATAATTAAATTGTAAAGATTTTTTGCATGACAAAATGTAGCAGATTAACCATTAAAAAATGTAATTGACGAGCATGATTATGGGTGTATTAATGACGCGCGAAAGAAAACTAGGTGATTTTTTTAAGGTAAAATATTTTATTAGGAATTATCTTGGTAATTATAACAATGACAAAATTCTTGGTTAAATTGTAAATTGAATATTGGGATTAGCTAGAGGATATAAACAGCTTTCCTTTCGAAAAATCCGCGGTCACATTTTAAAATTCTCATGATATGAATCTGGAAAAATTCGAATTTTCGCTAATACGGTTTTTCCAATTTTACATACAAATCGACAACGCTATCGAATTTAGTACTCTACAGGGTGAGGCGTTTTTTTTTTTCAATCCAACAAACTCTAATTTAACGGTCACAAAAATGATATATCGCGTTTTAAATTTGTTAATACAAAAAAGATTGCCAATATATATTTAATAATATAGCAACAAATATATTTTCAACACATCTTTAATATCGTTTGAACAATTTTCTATATTGTATCTATGTTTACGCAACGGAAACAAATCCAACCCTGTAAAAGAGGAGAAAACGCTGATGGTTTAATTTTTAATTTCGTTTTAGGTAAATATTCATTTAGCGAGTCTCGAAAAACTGGAGTTTGATTACACAGAATGAATAATAAAATTTATTAATAAATCAGCAGGTAAGTATTTAATTTTTGTTTCAATTAAAAATTAAAATATTTAGTAACTCCATCGTTCGAGAAAACAAATATACAGAGGGTGCTTTCGAAAAATTTATCCTGCGATAATAAATAATAAAAAAATCGAAAAACTCGTAATTACACCCTGTGTATAGGAAAACGAATATCCTTAAAGAGTATCAAACATTTCGAATTCGTAATTTTTATGCATTTTAAAACGGGAGTCTAATTCCATGGGACTAAATAATTCGCGTCCCATTTCTTAAAATCGCAAGCAATTTACAAGTAAAATATTTATAAAAGTCGGTATTGGTCTCACTGGTTTTGTTTTATGATTATATTAATTCATAACGTATCTAGGATTTAAGCTTGGCTGGATATTTTTGCCGAAAATTCAAAGGTCTCAGATCAAGTCGAATTTACTCAAAATAAAGAAAAATCCTTACCGGATTACTCCTTCAAAATTTGTTTACATTGTTGCCAGATGTTGTATTTTATATCGACAATTCGGATAATTTAAAGGATCTACTTTGTAATGAAATATAGTTTACTGTAAATACTCAATTTTGAAACCTACGAATTTGTAGATTAATTTGTATTTTAAATTCGCTTGACCTGAAATCTCCTCGAGAGTACGTTACTATAAGGCAGGATATTTTCTTATGAATCGGCAAAAACTTCCAAAAAATTTTACTCTAGCTCGAATTCGTTTAATAGATAACTGCCTACCGAATCTGTCGAAGCGAAATGAAAAATATGTATTAGGAATATACTCTGGTCTGTTTGTCTATAGCAAATCTCTAATTTTATAGCTAATTTATCTTTCTAAACGAAATACACCTGGGAATGGCAGTTTTTAACTTCAATCTCATCGTTTGGAACTCTCTTCTCGTGTGATTAAATTAAAAATCTATTACTCCAATTAAATACCTTCGAAAAGATTAATCCCAAAACGACGACATGAAATTGGATTCGTTAAAATAATAATTCGTACGCGCGCTCAATTATAAAACCAGAAATGATTGGAATATTAACAACATTTCGCTGGTTAATTGTTATGTAATTGTTACAATAAATTATTACGAAAACCAATTGCTCACGCATACGAAATTACTTTCATTAGAACAAGCGAAAGTCGCTCAATAAAAAAAATATTTTTTTATACTTATTTATCGAATTATTTAAATTATAGAAATCCTTCCTTTATATATCCAATCAGGAACAGACAATGTAACAACCAACAAGAACAAGCTATGCTATTTATTTATTTAAGTATAAAATTTAGAATTTTAATTGTCGCGATTACTTTGTCCGTTCTCGCTACATGTAAAAGTATACTTTTGTTTCGAATCGATTTACGCCAAAAATTAGTGAAATGATGTCTTTATTTTATAAATCTTGTACAGTAATCCATTCAAATAATGAGCGTGCAATATTTAACAAAAAAACTATGTAGTTTGTAGTTGTATTTTCGGCGTAATTTACAGTGAAATATAAGGGAAGGTTTCCCTCAAAATATTTACCCGATTTTTTTTAACTATATACAGATCGCACTTGGTTTACCCATGGGGAATGTTGAAGCACCATAACAAATATATTTATAAACAAACGTAGTACTTTTCACACATTGATCAGTGTGCATTTTTCGAATTTATAAATTTTTTATTATAAATTTGTCTACATCAACTATCTATACATCTTTTCCTTGGTGATGAAGCCTTCTTATTGTTCCTATTTCTTAAGTAAATAGTCGATAGAAATAGAGTACTGTTAACTTTTAATTTCCAATTTATTTTAAAGGATCTAATTTTTACTAATTGACAATGCGGGAATTTTGCTGTTATCTTATTTCCTAAGTCCTTCCCACAATTCAAAAAAGGATTATTTAAACTCGAAGAAAATGCACACTGTCTTTATAAAAACGAACGGCATCTAAGGATAAAAATTGTAGTATAATATTTTGTTAATTATGTACAAGTATATATATTTTATTACTACTTATTCATTTTTAGGCCAAACGGGTATCAAAGGCTTCTTAGGTGAGACAATTGTAATTATAATGACTGATAATAATTAAAAATCTCTTTTTTTTTAACGTGTCGCGGTTCAATTTGAGTTCTAATTGTAAGTTTAATTTACAAGTTTATTTACAGTACAAGCAGATATCGTAGAAAAATCAATATTTACAAACGTTTTATTCGTGTGCGAAACTCGGGAATAATCAACTTTTCTACGATTTATCTCCACATCGTTAGTTCGTCGAAAAAAATATAATTTTTATCCTTAGTCCCCTGTTATATCTAAAGGTATATACATAAAATTTGGCAGTCATTAAGGTGAACAATTCACTTAGATGTATTCATGTCCATTTTTTTTAGTTCGTTTGCTTTACAACATCGAATAAAACAGAAAAATATTACTCTCCAATATTACTCTCCAAGAATGAAAATACCTACTAAATCAAACTAAATATTAGTGCTGAATTTTACAATCGATTGGAAGAATTAACAAAACTATTCGCCTTTCCATGTAACTTAATATTATAGTTAAACAAAAAAAGTTTAAATTCCTATTGCATTTGTTTTCTAAATAATTAAAATCGAACAGTAATATTTCCTGTACAATTTGCACCGATCGGGGAAACACTCTAACGAGGTCCGTTCCAATTAAAAATTCACTAATATCGTTTCTAAAGGTCCGTAGAAAATGTTGCGCCGCCATTACACAAAGTATTGCACGAAGCTCTGCAAAATCTGGTAAGGCAGCGGATTTTGTCGTTAAATAATACTCTCTCGATTGCGCTCGTTCTCCTCCTCCGCCAGGCTGCTCGCCGACCTAAAAAATATCCAACACATCATTTCCCATCCCTTCACCAAGCAAATCAAACAGTAAATCTTCTACTAGCATCCTTCAGGACGCTAATAATACACCAGCTTTCCAGCCCTTCACCAAGCAAATCAAACAGTATCTTCCAGATATCTTCCAGTATCTTCCAGATCAAATCAAACAGCAGCACAAATCTTCTACTAGCATCCTTCAGGACGCTATATAATAATACACCAGCTTTCCAGCCCTTCACTAAGCAAATCAAACAGTAAATCTTCTACTAGCATCCTTCAGGAAGCTAATAATACACCAGCTTTGCAGCCCTTCACCAAGCAAATCAAACAGTAAATCTTCTACTAGCATCCTTCAGGAAGCTAACAATACACCAGCTTTCCAGCCCTTCACTATAAGCAAATCAAACAGTAAATCTTCTACTAGCATCCTTCAGGAAGCTAATAATACACCAGCTTTGCAGCCCTTCACCAAGCAAATCAAACAGTAAATCTTCTACTAGCATCCTTCAGGACGCTAACAATACACCAGCTTTCTAGCCCTTCACCAAGCAAATCAAACAGTAAATCTTCTACTACCTCGATCCGCATATTTGCATCTCGATTTCCGCCAATCGGTTCTCGATCTCCCACTGTTGCTGGCTCAATTTGACGCTCATCGCCGCGTTCTCGGACTCCACGGTCTGCAGCCGCTCCCGCAGCCGCTTTATCTCCGTCTCCAGGGCGTCGTGGGAGCCCAGGCCCGGGCTGGTGGCCCCCGAAGCGGACACCAAGTGGGTCATGCTGTCGCATTGCAGCGCCCCTGAAACCGATCGAACGACAGTCACGAATCTGCTGGAGGGATCCGAGGATTCGCCGAGCATTTACCGGATCGATGGTGGGAGCCCAGGACGTGGTGGCTGCGGCCGCTGCTGGTGGAGACGCCCCCGGGTGAGTCGGGGGTCTGGATTCTAGCGGGGGAGCTGATGAGGGATCGCTGGTAGGCCGGGGTGAAGCTGGGCAGGGACGGAGGCAGCCACATGTCTTCTAAGGCTACTTTGCCTCGGGACTCGACCAGGCCTGGGGTCGATTGGCTGCGACCCATCGCGGCTGGAAGAAGACCATTAAGAGGTGAGTTTGTGGTGGGTTAATGGTGGAATGGTATACCTTTTTCCAACGGGGCTCGTTTGTATTTCTCCAATCGCTTCACCGCTATGGCTTCCAGGCGAACTCTAGCGGCGGGGTACTCCTTCAGGACGTCCCACATGTCCTTTTTGCTCAGGACGAAGAGGTCGCTGTATCCGACAGATCGCACACTCGCTGTCCTTCTGTTACCTAAAAACCCACTCAACGAATTGTAATTAACTATATAATCACCTTGTAAAACATTGTACTGTTCAACACTATATTTTTTTATCATTACTATGAAAGTAAATAGTGGTAATATTAATAGGTTTCGGTTAGTAGCGCAGTGATGAAGAGTACATACATTAAAACGAAGAGCCGGCTATTAAGAAAGCCATTAGCGTATATCAATTCACTAAATGGACGGGGAATTTAAAGTCTCGTTCAACGCTACATTATTTTGCGGTCGAATCCAAACAAGAAAAATAGGGTGAAATTTGAATGCATGCCAATAGATTGGGTGGAAATAGGGCGAACGTGTAGGGATTTTTATAGGCGGATCTATTCGAATATTTAGTTGTTTAAACGAGTTTTTTGCATCGAAATATATTGTGGTTTTCGTAGCTGGTAATTTCGAGAATAAATAGACTTTGTATTATGATTTGCATTTTGATGGTATTCGGTAAATCCCAAACTGGAGATGCAGAAATCCTATTCTACATTTCTTTTGCATTTTTCATCACACTCGGTGAGTTTGTATAAAAAGTAATAAACCTCCAATCTCCAACAAACAACGAGAATTCGCAATTTAATAAATTCGCTGCTTCCTTCGTAATTAATTAACGAACACGTGCTAATTTCCTATAAATTCAAATTATACTGCATACGGTAAAGTGCCCGGTTCTGATGGAGGTTGGAAGAGCTTTTCCATTTTCTGCTTACGGTCGATTCGGTCAAGAGATATGCATTCGATCTTATGGGAATACCCGGCTCCTCGACGAGAAACGAGGACGTTAAATTTCTAGTTATAGCGTTTGAGCAAAGTCTATTGAATACTGATGGAAATTGCGCGTGAATGGAATCGAAAAGGTCGAAGAAATTATATTGTTAATAATTAAAAGTTCAACTATAACGCGCGGGATTGAATGAATTATTCGGATTCGCGTTGGAATTGAAATAAGCAAACGTTGTTTATACCACGCCTGGTAAATTTATCGATTTAAAATTTGGGGCTTAATTTTAATTATCGGATTTTCGGGGTGACGTAATGATGCATTTCATCATCGGCGTGAAAATTAATATCATACATCTCCGTGAAATTGAAATGTTTATACAAATGCGATGGTTCTATAAATATCCTGATATTAGAATTATAGAGCAGTAGGTAATTGTCTAATTTATTATTTAAAATGTGTTGTGTGTTAATAGTGGGTTATAAGTATAAAAGCATGCTTCAGAAAAACTATAAGCAAATATTATAAAGATAATATAAGGGTAAGTACGAAATATATAAAAAAAGCAAGGTAAAAATTTATAAAATTTGCTTTAATTTTATACATTTTATTAACGGCTCGTTTCTTGTTAGTTTAGAAAACTCGCAGAATAACATAAAATTTGCGATGAATATTTTGCGAGTTAATTTTTATTTACATACTTAATTAAAGTAGCAGAGGGTTGGACAAATAAAAGCCAGGCAGGGGTGTCTTCGTAACCAGAATAAAACCTACTGTACAGAACATGCAAATCGCACTTCGTATATAAAAAAAACAGAGGAGATAATTATTATATAAAAATGAAAACCCATCGTCGTCGGGCCTGCCTGCTGATATTTACCAAGGTGTTTACCTGCCGTGCCCATATTCAAAATCGAAATCTCCCCGAAATAGCTGCCCGCCTTCAAAGTGGCCAGTACGGTCCTGCCGTTATCGGCCACCACCTGCAACCTCCCTCTGTTCACTATGTACATCTCCTTGCCCACCTCGCCTGCAAACGAAATTCGAAATTTTAATACAAAAAAAAAACCGCGCGATACGGCCCTGCGCGCGCCTTAATCAAACCGTAAAACGTTCCATTCGATCCACTTCTGCCGCATTAAAAAGTAAATAATTCCTTTTGAAGCGCCCTTCATCAAGAAAACGCCCGATAAATTTCCATTGGAAAAACAAATCGACCGAACACATCGGCTCGAAAAGACGGGGCGCTTTTAATAAAACGTTTTTTTTTTCAATAACTGCAACAACAACTGCGAGAACTCATCGGCTATAAAATCTGGTATTTTATTCCTCCCGATTCAAAGCTATTTTCGATATTTTTCTTATCTTCAAACATCTCCGAAAGCGTCTTTACCTTTCCTGCAGATGTAATCGCCGGGCGAGAACAGGACCGGCCTCAGCCTGAGCACCAATTCGCAGAGGAATCCGGCCTCGGTGTTCTGGAATATCTCGACGCGCTTCAGCGTGTCCAAGTGGACGTTGATGGCGATTTCGGCCTTGAGCTTGTCGGGTAGACAGGAAACGGCCCTTTCCTCGTCGGAGCACTTCTGGGTCAACCACAGGTAGTCGAACCATTTGATCACTTTCACCTGGAGGTGGTTGGGCACCCGGCGCATGCGCATGTAGGTCTTCACGCCGTCCAGTTTCGCTGGAACAACGAAAATTATTATAGAAATCTAGTTAGTAGAAATGGAAGCCTGGGGGTTTTCGGTGTTGCCAACCGTTGGTTAGATTTGACATGTTAATTGAACTGTCTTGCGCAGTGCTCTGGAAACCGATTGAAGCGATTTTTTTTCATCTAATCAAATAGATTCACCTGTATAATTTTGACGCAAATCAATTGTTATTTACAAGGAAATTGCGGAATATTAAAATTTATCTCTCGATAGCGAGACCTGTACAGTTCAACGGTCCGATGGTTGTTCGTTATAGCGTGAATTTGTTCTCTAAATTAACAATTTTCAAATCTGCAGCTAGCCAAATCGGCTAGCGTTTTTGTATTTTAATAACGAATATAATAGATCGGGATTTTTACCAACGAAATAAACTTAATTAACCTTCATATATTGGGTGTTTTCAATTATATTCTATACAGAAAAGTGGTTGATAATATGATTGAATTTAAAGCTCTAAAATAATCGAACTTTAGCTAACGATTGCATAATTAAAGAGTATAGTAATGAATACAAAACTCTTCTTAATTAGTTCAAATGAGCTGAATTATATTCTATAGCAAACCAAGAGCCAACGAATCGTTTGATTCAAATTAATTGAATTTACAAACAAATTAGCAATTATGGCTAATTAACAACCGACGCAAATATATAAATATTCGTGAATTATATAGACCGGATGATTATCTGTTTAATTCCTTTCATCGATTTCGCCATTAAGCCCGTTTACTTTATTAATTAGGATGCTGCATATGTATAAATTTGATGGAAACTGGAATCGAATTGGAATTTATTTCGTTTAAAATATATCTCCGGAGAGATAGATAGTCTCGTTTCCCCGATCACAAACGGCCGAATGATTTATTCATCCATCGTTCCCCGAATGGAGATTTTCGAAATAATTGACAATATTTTGAAAAGTGATGTCGATATTTCGACGGGCGCCGAAAGGCATGTTAAAATGCCAATTATCATGTATCTATTTTCCATAAATTATTTATAACAGTATATGCAAAAATGCGAATATTCAAATATACCATATACAGGGTGTTACCATATAATTACACCTGTACACTACTACCAATAGTTTTTATTAAAAATTCTCCATTAAAAATACTTCATAATGCATCAGGGGATTCGCAAAAATTTGCGAAACCCTATGCAATATTAAATTAGCAATTAATTTTATTACATTGCGGAGAGGTTAATCCTGATACGTTTTCCTATATACACTCAACACAATTACCGCGACCGGTGATTCTTTTGTAATGAAACTGCGATGGTCCAATTACGGGGCCTTTTGAAGCTCCACAAATGAATAATCGAATCGGCAATAATTGAACGATTGCTCTCCAATTTTTTTTTCATCGAAATATGCACTAGCAAATTCTAAAAGGCCAAAAACAATTCTAATAAATGCACATACAAAAATATAGATAAATAATTGCAATAGAATTCAAGCCGTAATTGCTTGATATTCCAGTAATTTACGAATTCGCATTGAATTTGTCAAAGTTCACAACGCTTACTTACCGGAGCATTTACATCGGGGCCGAATATTCCGGCGGCATTTGGGCAATTAATGCGACTTATGATCGAATTTGTACCCGCCGAAGGCGTTTGATACTCCAACGCCAGTGGCGCAGTTACTTTAATAACCTTAACCGTTACGGTTAAGGTAACCGGGCCCGGTAAATGACGCACCATTAATTTGCTCCATTCAACCCTCCGATATGCGATTAATATTATTGCTTCGATTAATTTACGGCCGACTGGAATATTTTTCATATTGAAAATTTTAATCGTAGATCCGTATTGATAGTAATAATTAGTGCTTTGATACATCTTGCTGGTAAATAAACTGCTCCACAAAAGTTAAGTACAAATTTTGCAATTATTTTAAAATTAAATGTTTTCTTTCATATCTGAGTGGATTTTTTGTCCCTTCCTTCTACAACTCTTACTAAATTTGGCGATCAAAAAACCTGCAACTTTTAAATTAATCTCAATATTTGTGAACTTCCTTAACTTTTGTGGAGCAGTATAGACAGTTACTGAATTTATGCAGGTAAAATTCGATCGTTAAATGCAATCGAGTGCGAATTATGCACGCGAACATTACCTAAATATCAATTAACGATTGTCACTCAGGAGTTGTTAATTCGCGAACTCTCTCGTTTACATTTATTAAATTAACGAGCAAACCGAGCCGGAAAGTTTCCCGAGATGGTTTCCTTGTTATTGGAAAATAACTCTTCGCAGATTTCCTAATTTGCAAGTCGCCCATTTTTACGCCGAATAATTCCGTCGGAATGGATGTTTCGTGAGAATCTGATTATTGAGATAAATAATTCGGTATATTTCGAGCGGGGTTAATTAAAGGTCGCGTCCGGGAACTCGGCAGGAAATCAACGGGGGATGTTTTTATATGTTTTAGAAATATAATTTACTTTCTTTCGAGTGCTATCCCGGTTTTATTTGCCCTCTTTTGACGAGTCGCTGTTCTGCGGTCGGAATCGGAACATTATAAATGGGCAACCTCCCGTGCAATACATTAAGCTTAACGCCCCGAACATGATAGTTGGTCGTGATAAAGGGAAACGCAGCGATACGCTGGAAATCGATGTTTCACGTTTGTCGCTTAAAGGATCCCACAGACCGACGCGAAATTTTCGCTGCCGCTGCGGCGGCGATTCCGCAGCGGAACCGCAGCGGTAGTTTCGCAATAGTAGCGAAAACGCAGCGTTCTATTTTCGAAACGCTGTTTTTTCCGCTGAAGCTGCGGAATTTCGGTACCTATGAAAATGGCAGTTGTCGAAAAATTAATCGAGTTTGTGAAAAAGTATCCAATTATTTACGATTTAAGTCATGAAGACCTATTAAAAATTATTCAAATAAATATCCTACTATTATTATGCTTGCCTATATGTTGCTAATCAACATACTCGTAATATTGTAGTTATTTTTACCCAATTCCTTCCTCTCCAGCTAAACCAAGTAGCAGTAAAACATCTTCTTCAAACAAACTCATTGAATAAATAATTGTATGATTTGCAAATACCTATATAATTAATTACACACAAGCTCCAATTTGTCACTAAAAATCGCTAACTAACAATCGGAAAATTTCGCGAATAGTACCAATCCGCTGCCGCAACGCCGGCGGAATTTCCGCCGCGAAATTTCCGCCGCGAAATTTCCGCCGCGAAATTTCCGCGGCGAAAAAGTTTCGCCTTCGTCTGTGGGATCCTTAATGGTCGGAATGGGTCATCGAATCCATTTTACCGGCTAATAGCACGTGTGGCGGATTCCGATTTTCGTTTCGCCATTTTCTATTCCGACGATATTTTCATTAAAATTTCCGGTACATACACCGGGTGTATAGATATCGAATTTCGAAGCTTGGTTTTCAATTAGCTCGCTGGGGTAATGCAAATGGGCTAACGGAGTTCGATTGCATTATTTGCTTGCATCTACGAGGGTTATAACAATTTATTGCTAGGTGCAAATTGGGAACTTTCGAGCGGAAAAACCGGCGTAAACTATGTCGAAAATTGTGGTAAAATTAAAACTTTACCGGTATAGAAACGGCCTAAAAGGAGTTTTACCGAGTCTCAGGTGTCTCCGCGGTAGTCGAATAAATTGGAATGGGGATACCCATAGATTGTTAATTTACCTTAGAGAGCAACTTACCAACCGCCAAAAAGAAATGGCTTTTCGATAGAATGAGTAATTCGAGCAATTTATTATTCATCGCTGGGAAAGTGTGAGATCAAGAAGTGTTTGGGGAAGGTTTTTTCGCGTAAATATTACTATTGTATTATTCCTCCATACATTTAATTCAGCAAACAAAACATCCTCTATCGCACAAACCTCACTATTTCGAGCAATATTGCATAAACAATTCCCAACCAGTTCATTTCCTTAACACAGAGTCCTCTCCCCGTTATAACCGGGTTATACCGGCGCGAGTCCGAAGAAACTTTTCAATGCGATTAGAGTTGTAAATCGCCATTCAACTTCCACCCCCCGACGTGTTCGAGCGATGCTCCCGTTCCGAATGAGAAATTCAATTTGGAGGAGGCCCCGTTTCATAAACACAACAGTTATGTTTACTTTCAAACTCAAGTTCCGCCGAATTAGCGACGAAAAGCGGGAAATTGGATTGGGCAATTTAAGTATTAACGAACGGGCGGGAAACTGCCGGATGTTCTTGTTTGATTGTTAAATAATACAACTAAAATGATATTTTATGGCGAAGAAATTGTTTTATTTCTATAAACTACAATCGGGTGATTTCGTTTTATCGATTAAATGAATCAAACCATATAACAAATTCGTGTAAATAAAGGTATAATTTTAAAGTACACTATTGAAAGGTATTTCCACATTAATATAACGCTAAACATTTTTCAATAGCTTCAAAATTTAAAGAAGATTATTAGACAAATATTTATCATATCTTTTCACATTCGGTATTTATTCCAGTTTCTTCTCATTTATCCATATTTATGAGTGTAGCTTTAATAGCGTTCAAATAAAACCAAATAAACATTTTTATTATTTATCATATCTTTTCCCATTCGGTATTTATTCCAGTTTCCACTCATTTATCCATTTTTATGAGTGTAGCTTGGAAATATTAAATGAAAGATTAAAGTTCATGCACGTTTGTTAGGTAAATTATACAACATTGATTGAATATAAATACCTCCATACAATCTATTAATTAAAATATTTATTAATATATTAATCCGTTGTTTATCATCATTTGAACTCGTAATGAATGCATATTTAACCCGTTTTTTGGATCGTTTCGTTAAATCCACGCTAACAATGGATTGGGATTTGGCTCATGCACCCGACTAACGGCTTCTTAGACACAATGGGACGTTGGCGAAGAGCCAGAACTGCATTTACTCTTCGAATATTTATAGTTCTGGCTCGTTTTCGCTATCTAGTTATGAAATACGAT